AAGTTATAGAGTTCACAAACTATGGTATAGATCTGAATATTGATCAATCCTGAAGTACTGACGGCCAATCTAATGTCTTGAGGTCCAAGAATGTCAGAACAGTACAGATATCCTCCAAATGTCAGAACAGTACAGATATCCCCCCAAATGTCAGAACAGTACAGATATCCCCCAAATGACCCCTTTTTGCAAAGTAGACAGTCCGACGTACTTCATAAGAGGAATGGCGAGTTTTTTGAACTTATATTTTTTTGGCATTTTTCAGAAAATGAAAAAATGTAAACAATAATTTTCACAATTTTTTTTTTTTTTACATACTGTCACCAGTGCAGTACAGCGTCATCAAATAACTGGCATGGCGGTGTCAGGGACAATGACTGGTGACAGTGTGAAAAAAAATTAAAATTTATTTAAAAAATGTTTTATTAGTTTTAATGTATTACATTTTTTTTCTTTTTTTTTAAAGATTTTTTTTCATATTTCACTATGACCAAAGTAGTACAATGTTACCATAGTAACATTGTACTACTTTGGGGAAGTGATCAGTATTTTTTTTTTTACACTATTTGCTTATAGCAAAGAATTACTTTGCTATAAGCAAGCATTTACCTGAATGATATCGATTCATCCAGGGTTTTTTGTTTTTTTTTTTTGTACTTAGCTGTGATTTGGCCACGGCTAATCACATGACACAGCCGGGCTGTGATTGGCCCAGCTTGTGCATGTGATTGATGTGACCATTCACAGCTAGGCACACTAGTATACAATGGATGGCATGAATGAAGCCATCCATTGTATACAATTGTCATGTGACCTGCTGTGATTGGTTACAGCAGGTCGTATGGTACCGGCAACAGGGCCGGTACACAGATCTGTCATCGGCCGTGTCCGAGGTACACGGCCAGGGACAGATCGCGCTGCTGCACGGCTCTGTGGGCGCACAAACTGCGCATGCCCAAAAGGACGCCATATGGCGTCCACCCGGAATGGCAAGGTGCTCGCCCGGCTGCCATCTGGCCATGGGCTGTGCGGAAAAGGTTAAAGAACAATATCCCTATTTATTGCCTGCTACACTATTTAAAGTTTATTTTATCACATGTTATGATGCCATTCTGAATCGGACACTCTGTGGAGTGAGAGGAGCCCCCTCCCCCCTCTTTGTGCAAGTGGACTTTTATCATTTGGGTATTAAGTGGAGGAAGAGGAGTTTATCACTTGGGAAAGAAAGAAACAAGGAAGAATTTTCTAATAGACAATGTCTGCACAATTGTTTTCTTTGACACAGAGACGCTGAATAAGAGTTGTACTATATAGGCTACTGAATAAACCATAAAACAGTGTAAAATACAGGAGGTACAAAGAAGCGGACAACTATTAAACTGATACAGCATAGGTAGTCCATTTTTTACACATTGGTGACATTGATTTTATCTATTTGTATTACAAACAGTATTGTGCACTTTGCTACTTTAACATTTAGAGTGTTACTGTGTGTATCATGAGACTACAGGGTTGATTTTAGTAAAGACACAGGCTTTTCACTTTGCATTGGGAAGTTGCGCTTGAAGTTGCAATTTTCAGTTGAATTTTCCTCAACGCTCAGTGACTCGAGTGAATTTTAACTTTGCAAAAAATACCAAGGGAAAAAAAAAAAAAACACATTTTTTCTTGCACTTGATTGGATGATGGAAGACAACAGAGCTTCACCTCATTCAACAAGCTCTAGGACATGGGTGTCAAACTGGCGGCCCTCCAGCTGCTGCCAAACTAAGTCCCATGAGGCATTGCAAGACTGACAGTTACAAGCATGACTCCCAAAGGCAGCGGCATGATGGGACCTTTAGTTTTGCAACAGCTGGAGGGCCGCCAGTTTGACACCCCTGGTCTAGGAACTATTCCCAAGCAAATAAAACAGCCTATTTGCATTTTAGCAAATCAACCCCAATGTACTGTGACAGGACAGTTTTTCACACTGTAAAGATGCAGATAGTGACGGGGAAGAGCCTGTTTAAAACGGAACTTCACTCTCTCAATCAACACCGACTATTTTGTACCCTTATGCTGTTACCATTAGTAAACAGACAGAGACGTATATCATATCTACATGTTTTAAACTTTTTTTTTTAACATTTCTTCAGTTGCTTCCTGCTTTCCAAGCCTATGCAAATAATATCATACATCTTAGGAGTCTTCAGGAGGGTTTTCTCAGCTAAGCACACCTTCCTGCATTCATGCCTGAGCTAAGGGCAGATGGATTCCAGGAAGCAAATGCTACATTAATCATCTGCCCTTTCTCAAGATGGCCACAGCCAGAAATGCTAGGGGGTGTTTTTCAGTGATTTTTCAGCAAAATAAAGTATGGAGACACGGATGGATTGGGGGGGGGGGGGGGGTTGGTGGTTTGAATATTAAAAATGAACTAAATAGCATTTACGGTTTGTGGTGCTCAGATGCAGTGTAGTCCTGCTTTAACCTCTTCACGCCGGCCGAACGCAAATGTCTGGCCTCCCGGCATCTGGGCCTAGACGCCGAGTGGCCGCACATTTGCGTTCTATTAAAAAAGGACATATGTGCCGAGAACGTGCGCCCTGCGTGCTCCCAGCCCACATGTCCGGTACTCACAGAAAGGTCCCGATCTCCTCTTTCGATCGGGACCTTTCCCAATCATGTGACCGCCGTGACGTCGCATCACATGACCCTAAACCCCGCCTCCCGGCTTCTGAAACTGTTAAAGGGCCGGGAGGCACCGGCGTGAAGGGGTTAGGCAGTGAAAGGTCTTTGAATATGTATAAGACAAGTAAGATTTGCCTGATCAGTGGTCAGTATTATCCAATCAGTCAGTGCTCCCTCCTGAGGAGGCAGAATAGTGCAAGGGCAGTGTTTGAAATGGACACCCAGTAAGTCAGGGTCAAGGCCACAGCTTGGTAAGTCTAGTGCTGCAGGGGCAAATGTACAGGTAAGAGGGTGTGTATAGCCCAGCAATGGGCAAACTACGGCCCGGCGGACCTTTTAATCCGGCCCGCGGAGCGTGGCAATCATCGGCTGTCAGAATGTGTGTAGGCGGGGCAGCATGAGGAACGTGAGGGGAGCTAGGCTCCTCTCACAGTCCGCCCTGAAGACCGGAACGGTGCTGGAACACGGCGAGGAACGCGCGGAGCAAAGGTAAGTGAATTGACACAGGGGGGACTTGGCTTACTACTTGGGGGGGAATAGTGCTGTGGGGGATGAAATACTATATGAGGGATGAATTAATATGGGGGATGAATTAATATGGGGGATGAATTACTATGGGGGATGAATTACTATATGGGGGATTAATTACTATATGGGGGATGAATTACAATATGGGGGATGAATTACAATATGGGGAATGAATTACTATATGGGGGATGAATTACTATATGGTGGATGAATTACTATATGGGGGATGAATTACTATGCTTACTATGGGGGAATATTACTATACTTACTATGGATGACACATACACATCATTCATCTACTCTTGGTCCGGCCCCCGGGTCCAATATATGAACCCATTGCGGCCCTCAAGCCAAAAAGTTTGCCCACCCCTGGTATAGCCTGTCTGGGCTGGAACAGACCGAGGGTCAAAACCAGATAGCAGATATGCTGATCAAGCCATGCAAGGTAAACCTTTCATATGCTGGTGACTAATAAGTACAGGCAAGAAGTTCTCAAATGGACTACAACTTCTCTGCAAACTCTGACGCTTAATCTCCCAGTACCTATAGATGCAATCCTTTTATTTCTCTATGAAATTGAGCATACTGTACTTTGAAGGATATACTGCCAATGTAGGACACTTTGCACTGTTTGGATTTGACACTTTATAGGTGAGATATGGAAAAGGTGTGCAGCCATAGATATCAAATATTTTAAAAAGATTTGCTTTCTTTTTTTTGTGCAGCAGCCAAAGAGGATTATAAATATTAGGAGCTGGTCAGCACAGAATACTAGGGAGAAATATTGTGTTTGGAGTGTTAGGGATCATGTACACGGGGCGTTTGGAAAACTCTTCTGAACGATGGAAACTGACTGCTGGAAAACGTAGGTTAAAAAAACGTCTGTTTAGCCGCATTTGCATACCACATTTATGCGCGTTTGCTTTTTGAAGCGTTTTATAAGATAACTTCAGGAGACTTTCCCAAATGCCCAGAATGCACTGAAAAACAGTAAAGAATTAACTATTTCAGACGTTTTGAGAGAAATAGAGAGAGAGCAGAATGTGTTGAGATGACCTGTCTTTTCTGGTTGTATTCACTATGGATCCCATCATGAGCATAATGCGGCACGTTCTACCATTTTTTCCTTGACGCAAAACCTGGAACTGACTGTGCTGGTATAAGTCCATTTGAATACATGGAAAACACTTTGCATGCATTTCTAATGAAAAAAAGGCTCTGGACAGCATCTGGACATGAAACAGTTAAAAAAAAGCTTCTAAAGGCAAACGCTCATAAATGCAGTTAACCACGCTTACACGCGTTTGGTGTTTGAAACACCTGTAAAATCTACTCCTGAACGCAAGTTTAGTGCGTTCAAAAAAAACGACTGTAAACTGAACTGCCTGTAAACGACGATGTGTACATTGACACATAGGAAAACATTAGGGAGAGTTCAGGGGCTGCTGCAAAAAATGCTGAACAGCTCCTGAACGTCAGCTTAGGAGCTGCGGTGTACATGTGCCCTTATTGATTGTTTCAGAAGAATGAAAAGTGGAAGTTGGCGTCTGATCTGCTTTTCAATGGCTAAACGTTTTAGCACCAGGTCAAGACTGCCTACTATTGGATAGAGAGTAGTGCATAAGGTGGAAAGCTGATCAGGAGTTGTCTGGATTGAATTGCCTTCAGATGCTTCATTTGGGAAGCAGAGTGTCAACACACAACATAGACTGAAGGTTTGTGTCGGACCTCTAGCAAAGATTTTTAGTAGTACAACAAGCAGGTTTCAACAGATAAAGATTGAACAGTTTGGGACTTACCTTCTTCATAAAGCTCACATCCTGTCTGCTGCTTTTGTCCCGTTTTATCTTGAGGTCACCAACATCAGGAATTATTCTGAGAAAACAAAACACAATTTTACTTTATTTGTATGCTTGAAAGGGTCTATTTTGTAGCTTAGTGCAAAAAAAAAAAAAAAAAAAAAAAAAAAAAAAAAAAAAAAAAAAAAGGATTTTCGTGAAAGATCAAAAACTTTCTTTTGGGAGTCCATTGAGGGGCACAGGAAATCTTAAACCTTCAGGTTATGCAGGAGAATTGGACTCCAAAAAAAAACCAACCTGTAGACCAGCCCAGAATAACCTAGCATGCTTCAGTTTTGTGTCCCATACTGAACTCCAAGAAAAGGATTTTACAGTTAGTACAACAATTTTTTCTCCCACATTGAGGGACACATGAACTCAAAAGAAAGGTCCAAGTAAAAAAAATGAGAAGAGAATTAGGGATTGGCTGCAGCCTAAATAGCTGCCTCAAGGACATGACACCTGAAACTGACATTATATGCTGAAGCATTCACTTGGTAGAACATCCATCCATGAGAACAAAAAGTTTTGACTTTTCAAAGTAACGTCACAGCCAGGATTAGGTATAGAGCAGAACTCTGGAAAGGGCTTACAACTATTTACTGGTTGGATCTTTAACCACCTTCCTGTCCGGCCCATGTACATAAACGGCCGTGATAGCCAACCAGAGGCTATCACAGCAATCATGTAACCTGGAATCGGGAGTCACGAGTCCCAATCGTTAGAACGAAACCTGGTGCTCTCAGTGACACCACGGTCAAGACAGTTACGCAAATATGCGGCCCTAAGAAAAAAAGCCCAGTTCTGTGAGGCCGCATATTTGTGTTACGTCGGCGTCAAGTGGTTATACACGGAGATTGAACTATTTATTCCAACCACTACCCTGTTTCTCCTAAAATAAGACCTTCCCCGAAAATAAGACCTAGTGCTATTTTTGGGAATTGCTAAAGTGTAAGACCTACCCCGAAAATAAGACCTAGATGTGATCAGGGCTTTTTTTTCAACCGGAACATGGCGGAACGCCATTCCGCCACTGGCCCTGCGCACACCCATATCTACTGTCTCTTATAAACACAGAAAACGCGGCTGAAGTGACAGCACCATCTGCTCTCACAGAACCCCCCTACCTCTGTACTCACCATCCGCTCCCACAGAACCTCCCTACCTCTGTACTCACCATCCGCTCCCACAGAACCTCCCTACCTCTGTACTCACCATCCGCTCCCACAGAACCTCCCTACCTCTGGACTCACCATCCGCTCCCACAGAACCTCCCTACCTCTGTACTCACCATCCGCTCCCACAGAACCTCCCTACCTCTGTACTCACCGTCCGCTCCCACAGAACCTCCCTACCTCTGGACTCACCATCCGCTCCCACAGAACCTCCCTACCTCTGTACTCACCGTCAGCTCCCACAGAACCCCCCTACCTCAGTCCTCACCATCTGCTCCCACAGAACCTCCCTATCTCTGTACTCACCTCACCGTCCGCTCCCACAGAACCTCCCTACCTCTGTACTCACCGTCCGCTCCCACAGAACCCCCTACCTCTCAGTCCTCACCATCTGCTCCCACAGAACCTCCCTACCTCTGTACTCACCATCCGCTCCCACAGAACCTCCCTACCTCTGTACTCACCATCCGCTCCCACAGAACCTCCCTACCTCTGTACTCACCATCCGCTCCCACAGAACCTCCCTACCTCTGGACTCACCATCCGCTCCCACAGAACCTCCCCACCTCTGTACTCACCATCCGCTCCCACAGAACCTCCCTACCTCTGTGGACTCACCATCCGCTCCCACAGAACCTCCCTACCTCTGTACTCACCGTCAGCTCCCACAGAACCCCCCTACCTCAGTCCTCACCATCTGCTCCCACAGAACCTCCCTACCTCTGTACTCACCATCCGCTCCCACAGAACCTCCCTACCTCTGTACTCACCCGTCCGCTCCCACAGAACCCCCCTACCTCAGTCCTCACCATCTGCTCCCACAGAACCTCCCTACCTCTGTACTCACCATCCGCTCCCACAGAACCTCCCTACCTCTGTACTCACCATCCGCTCCCACAGAACCTCCCTACCTCTGTACTCACCATCCGCTCCCACAGAACCTCCCTACCTCTGGACTCACCATCCGCTCCCACAGAACCTCCCCACCTCTGGACTCACCATCCGCTCCCACAGAACCTCCCTACCTCTGTACTCACCATCCGCTCCCACAGAACCTCCCTACCTCTGGACTCACCATCCGCTCCCACAGAACCTCCCTACCTCTGTACTCACCGTCCGCTCCCACAGAACCTCCCTACCTCAGTCCTCACCATCCGCTCCCACAGAACCTCCCTACCTCTGTACTCACCATCCGCTCCCACAGAACCCCCCTACCTCTGTACTCACTGTGGGACAGGGAAGGAACAGATATCTGCGGGCGCAGTATGCAGTGTGTTTAGGGGTGGAGCATCTCCTTCTGCAGTCTATTGCATGGAAGCCGATGCCTCAGTGGGGAAGAGGCGGAGCGGTGAGTAAAGTGCGCTTGGTGCACTGTGAGGGAAGATAGGACCCGAAACGGGAGTTACTATAGAGAGGGGCCGGCTGCTGACAGCTGTGTTTTTCAAAGCAATTTAACCATATGAGGGCAGTGGAGGGGGAGGGGGATGTGCAAAGGTGAGCTGCAGTCAGGTGTTGCAGAGGTAAATTGATTCAGGTGAGTTGCAGACAGGGTGCAGAGGTAAGCTGTGGCTGGCGGGGTGCAGAGGTGAGGTGAGCTGAATTGCACCCACCTTTGCACCCCCCCGGCCACAGCTCAGCTCTGCACCCCCCCCCCCCCCCGGCCACAGCTCAGCTCTGCCCCCCCCCCGGCCACAGCTCAGCTCTGCACCCCCCCAGCCACGGCTCAGCTCTGCACCCCCCCCCCGGCCACAGCTCAGCTCTGCACCCCCCCCCGGCCACAGCTCAGCTCTGCACCCCCCGGCCACAGCTCAGCTCTGCACCCCCTGGCCACAGCTCAGCTCTGCATCCCACGTCTGCAACTCACCCCTGCACCCTGTCTGTGGCTCATATCTGCACCCTGTCTGAAACTCACATGTCAAGTCTCCCCTGCAACACCTGACTGCAGCTCACAACTGTCATCGCCGGCTCTCTCCATAGTAACCCTCATCCACAACTGCCTGCAGCTCACCTCTGCACCCCCTGTCCACACCTGGACATTTAAAAAATAAGACCTACCCCGAAAATAAGACCTAGTGTGTTTTTTGAGCCAACAAAAAAAATAAGACAATGTCTTATTTTCGAGGAAACACGGTATATAATTTATGAACAATTTAAACAGAATCGGTCCCAGGACTGAGTCTTGGGGCTCCAGGCCATTCAGAAGATACGCTATTAACACCACCCTCAGGACACGCTCCTATAACCAGTTTTCTATCCAGGTACACACACTATTGTCAATGCCAACCGACCTCAATTTGCAAAATTAAGTGTTTATAATTGGGCTTTACCTCTGCTGACTTCAGAATAGGTGCATTGCTAGTAGGGGTTAAACGAAGGAGTCCAGAGATGTTCTCACAGACCTTCAGACATTATCCCAACTCACTCCAGTCATCTGAACCCAAAAGTCAAAGTTTTGGGCTCGACTACTTATCAGTGTCATGCACAGTTGAATGAAGTGTGGTAATGTGGAGAGGCCGGCCACATTTTGGCGCATAATCACTTTTGCACCTTTCTAAGTGCTCAACAGATCTATGAAGTAATATACCATCTCCTCTCCTCGAGGCACCTGCCTTTCCATGCTCTCTAGTGGTTTATTAGAACACGTTTAGAGGCAGGAAACTGATAAAGCTGCGCAACTTGAATCTGCAAAAAATGCAAATGAATCGGCAAACAATGAAAGAATGTTTCTAGAAATTACATTTTCTCTTCGGGCTCATCAGAGATTCATTCTGCACCCAGAGAACAGGCAGTTCTACAGGAAAATGAGCAGTCGGCCTGGTATTAAATATTATCACTTAATTACAGCTATGTTCAGCAATTGCGCTGCATTTTCAATCTTCTGTGATGAAAACTGTCAAAATAATTATAAACCAGCAATTCTATGGCACAATATTTACAGGAAAAAGCGTTTTCTGCTAAACAAAAATACAATTACATACGTAATTAGACCAACTATATGGCAGATAAGCTTTCCAAAGCAGTATAGAATATTCAGGGAAGGGGTTTTAAAAGGGAACATCTACATAGGGAGCTACTATTGCTGTCCTACTTCTGAAAATGATAGCTTCCTGGCTATAAAATTTTGTAAAAATTAATACTTTTTCTCCTTTACTGATGTGAGCTAATGAGGCTGCACTGATGGGCACTGATAGGCTGCACTGATGGGCACTGACAAGGCACTTGTAGGTGGAACTGATGGGAATTGAAATCATCATTGGTGGGCATTCACAGACATCACTGATGGGCACTGAAAGGCAGTACTCATATATGGCACTGATAGGCAGCACTGACTGGCACTGTTAGGCAGCACTGATGGATACTGATAGGTAGCACTGACTGGCATGCATAGGCAGCACTGAGGGATACTGATAGGCAGCACTCATAGGCAGCACTGACTGGCACGCATAGGCAGCACTCACTGGCACTGACTGGCACTGATAGGCATCACTGATTGGCAGCACTCATAGACAGCACTGACTGGCACTGATAGGTGGCACTGACTGGCACTGAAAGGCAGATCAATTGGGCACTGATATGTGGCACTGATGTGCAATGATGGACACTGACAGGTGGCACTGATGGGGCTACACTGATCATCAGTGCTCTGATCATCAGTGTACAGTTGCAAGAAAAAGTATGTGAACCCCTTGGGATTATGTGGAGTTTTGTATGAATTGGGCATAAAATGTGCTCTGAACGTCATCTAAGTCACAACAACAGAAGAACACAGTCTGCTGAACATAATACTACACAAACATTAGATGTTGCCATGGTTAAATTGCACATAACATGTAAACATTCACAGTGCAGGGAGGAAAAAGTA